ATATTTAGTCAGTAAAGGTAAAGTACGATGTATACAAACACTAACAATACATGTCGAAGCCTTCGCACGAAATGTCGAAGTTCTCCTTGTATTTTTCAGGGATCAATCCGAAGCTTTCTCCCAGAATTTTTAGTTGTTTTCAATTCGATTTCAGTGTAAAAAGTATCAAATTTTCGACGAGAAATTCTATAAAATACTTTGTTTATATTTTGCAACAATTGCCGAGCATGCGTAGAACTCACGTTGGAAATCCAACGTGAATCAATTCGATTTCTCCAGAGCTATGCCCACTCTTAACCTGCGAACGGGCATGCTCGGGGAACGAGATTGCGCCATTGTGTGCAATTTTTGCATAGAGAAGACTGGAATCTAGTTCTTAATTAGCATTCAACTCTTTATAGTTTGAAAGTTGAAAGTAGTTCAATGTTTGTTCAAATAGATTCATGTCTCGCTAATAGGGTTAGCGGTTAGGGTGGGGATTGGGGTTAGCATTATAAATAGCGAGACATGAATCTATAACCACCACTTAGTGACTCCGCTGAACGGAATGATTGCAGTCAATCGTTTACACCTGAAAAAAAACATGGCGGAAAAAGTTTCAAAAAAAGTATTTTTTTATCTACATTTTATAATAATATATAAATATTATTGCATTTTTACTTTTACATGTTTATATCATTCATTAATATGATATTTTTGTATAACGTTTTCCTGTTTTGTATTGAATGCTAAAATGCGCAATCTTGCTTTTATATATGATTCGATATTATATTGAATTAGCAATCTCGCGAGGCCTTGTAATTCAAATATTTGATGCACTGAGGTTTGATGCCTAGAAATGCCTAGTGCAATTGTGGGGGGGGGTATATTTTAAAATTTTAATCTATATAGTTAAACAGGGGGGTCATTTTTTCATTTCCAAAAAATATAGGGGGTGCGTATTTTATTGATGTTTTTAAAAAAACCACCGCCCCCCCCCTGAGACGTAATAAACGATCGGTCCCTAAACAACAAGTATATTGTGCTCCTTATTCATTGTTAACAAAAATTTGAAAGAAAAATTGCCTATTCACATTGTAAGGCTAAAATTATGTACATAATTTCAGTAATAAATAAAATAAACAACTTAATACCAAGGACAAGTCAAGTGAGTCTTTGACTCTTTGTGGATATAGACCATATAGTGACAGTCTTTGCAATTTCACATCAAGGTCAGGCCAAAAACCCAAAAGTTGGCGCAATAAGAATAGTAGATTAGTTCCTGATTATATACAAACATGTATTATTACCTTTTGCATTTTAATATTGTGAAAAAATATCTATATTTTTATTTCTGTACGTATATTTTCCTCAGAAGAATGATAAAAATGCGTAATACCGCGTGCAACCCCCCTGCTAAGAGACTTGCACTAGTACAATAATTGTATATAACATGAAGTTTCCTGAACAAAATGGCGGAAATTTTAATAAAATATGTTGATGTTTGATCGTAAAATACAAAAAAAACTGCAGGTTTGTGCGAGTGACAACAAGTGAATTCGTACTCAGCGTATAAAAATGTATAGATTCGTGTGAATTTAAAGTAGTGCCCGAAGGGGGGCAACAAAACTGAACGAAAAGCGGTCAGGGAATACGGTCTACACGGGAATTCGTCCTGTTAGAGGGTCTCAAATTCGTCCGGTTCCGTGGTTCTCGTGTGTTTACACGGCCGAAACGGCCGAATTTTCGTCCGGTCACAAATTCGTCCGGTACCGTGTAAACGGGGTCTCAGTCGCAGTATGTTTGTCCTTGACCTAAGTTGTAATGCCTAATGGCGCAATAAAGATAAAAAATACCAGCGTTCGATTCAGCGTAAGAAATTGTACTTACGGGTGTCAAATGTATCACTAAACAACAGTATTCTAGCGATTTATGGCCTTTATCTTTACAGTAAAATCCACGCGAAATTGTATTGCGAACCAATCGCTCAAAATTATTCAACTAATTATAAAAAATGCAGTACGTTTGATCCTTGATAACTTTGGTATCGTTGGTTTTCTCTTTTTCGGCCGTATACCAGTGGATTTGTCTCGCTTCTCTCTTCATTTTGATAGTATTTTGTGCCCAAAGGCCCCAAACTATTTTATTTTTACGCCGAGAGTTTTGTTTGTATAGGCCGCATTGGTACTGTGTCTGATTGTATAAAATCATGAGCTGGGCTCATTATATTAACAGAAACTTCAAAACTGAGCCACCTACCTGCAATACAAACCTAGCCAATTTGAGAGCGGCAGCACTCTCCCCTTGACAAGTAAAATCGACTGGTATATAAGACATTAAAATAATAAAGTAGGTTGCATGATAGACAGAGCACTGTTACATGTTGATATAGTTCAAAACAGAGTGAACAAAACTGTAACTGAAAAGTTTAATCTTCAACCCTTTGCGGTCGCTCGTATTCGACAGTTCCGCTTAGCTCGGGACAACCAAGGGACAACCATAAATCTTAAGTGAAACAACTGTGTACTGCATGCATGTATGAATCATATACGGTTATGTGCGTGTTTGTACGGTGTATAGCCCCAGTTAACGCTCTATAGAGCGTCTTGTTCATTATTGTTTTGTTCATGCGACTTTCCATATATTCACAATGGATGGCGAGTCTGTTTATCAATGGTTTATATTAAATATAAATTTTACAAAATGGCGTCGTTAGTACAGAATAATAATGAATTCACTGACGTCACCGGAGCAAAAATGCACCAGTGATTTTGGCGCGCTTGCGGGTGACAAAAGTCCGTAGCTTCCAGGAACCACGAACCGCGGACTTTGGAAAGTCTAGCCCAGGCACTGTGTGCATGGGTATTTATCAGAGGGTATTTATTTTAAGAAACTAAGTAAGTTATATAAAGTATAACTTACTTAGTTTCCTTTATGTATTATGTGTGATTTGGGGGTGGTTTTAGTTTGATATTTAACAAATATAAAACATTTCCCGTGTTGATATACAGTTTATATATCAACACAAATGGAAATTGGGAAAACGAGAAATTGTGTGGAAACACGACGCCCGAAGGGCGGAGTTCTTTTGATATAAAAACGGAAACCTTATTTTGAAGCAGCTCGATCTCTTCCGAAAATTAAGGCTATGTCTTAATTGTAAAAAGCGTTCAAATTAAGACATTGCCTTAATTTTAAACATAACCCCCACCCAAACCCCCACCCTAACCTCTAACCCCTAGCCCCCCTAACGGCTAATCCTAATCTAATCTTAGTCTAACCCTAATCCAATCCAAATCTAGCAACCTTTTTTTTTACAACAAAATTTACGACAGCAGGACAGAATTTGGGGCTACACAATAAAATTTACAGCAGAACGAAATTTAGAGCAACACATGTACAAAAGAACTTGAGACAACATACTTATTCGTCCGCCCTAAAATTCGCCCTTTCCGCCGACCCACAAATTTTAGAGCGGTGAATAAGTAGGTCTGACAGGTCTATTCTGTATTCTGGAGGGGGGATGACCGGAAGTATAGCGCTGTTTGTCCTTTAATGGTTTATGATAATTATGAAAATTCATATGTTTTCCCGTGAAAAAAACATGGCCTCCGTCACCGACAACGTTAGAAATGATATTATTGATATTCAACGGCGTTTGGAAACGGAAACAACCATGCAAACGGCTTGGATCATATTACTACCTCCTCCACAGGCCGTACAGTTGGTAATGAGTATGCCCGTTCGCAGGTTAAAATTTATAATTTGGGACGAAGGCTTGTGTAGCTGCAAGCATCTGCCTCATCCCCCTCTCCTCCGCAGAGGCTTTTTAAAAAGTAAATATAAAAAAACCCACCGCTGACCCGTTGGGAGAGGAACGCAGACGCGAAACAAAAACGTTTGGGGTTTCATTTTACTTTGCGCCTATGTTCCTCTCTTCCTTATATTCAGCGGAAGTTACCCACTCTTCCCTTTACAACTTCATGTTAGGAACACATAATATAGTTAGAAACACATGATGGTTAATGTCGGAAACCTCTGCGGGGGAGAGGGCGAGATGCCTTGTCCCCAGGGTTAGCACTATTTTCCATCCAGCAAACCGCCCTATCGATGTTCTAAATTCGTTTCTTTTTGGATTTTTTAATTAATTCGGTTAGGGTTAGGGTTAGAGTAGGGATAGAGTTTGGGTTAGTTACATAGCCATTTAACAAAATGACGTCAGGTCAGTTTACTGGATGGAAAATAGTGCTAACCCGTCCCCCAGGCGCTATTTAACAAATATAAAACATTTTCCGTGTTGATATACAGTTATATCAACACGAGTGGAAATTGGGAAAACGAGAAATTGTGTGGAAACAGGGGCGTAGGAACCGGGGGGCCAGGGGGGCAGGCCCCCCAAGTTTTGGCAAGTGCCCTTTTATCGGGAGCAAAGTGCCCTTTTTTTGCGTGAAAAATTTTCATTAAAATTGTATTTTTTGCCCAAAGGGCACTTTTGAAAACTTGAAACTATGTTATTTCCGGACAAATTTTTGAATTTCCGGGAAAAATATCATATATCCGGAAAATTTTTTGGTATGTCCGGAAAAATTGTTTCGTATTTAGGAAAAAAATGTGGTATATCCGGAAATTTTTTTGGGGTATGTCCGGAAAATTTTTTGAGATGACCTCCCCCCCCGTCGCCAACATTTCCGGGAAAAAACTTTTGATGCCCTTTTTTTTCGAAAAGTGCCCCTCAAATCCTGCCCCCCCCCAACTTTTCGAAGCTCCCTACGCCCCTGTGTGGATTTCGAGTTTTCCCAATTTCCACGAGTGTTGATATAACTGTATATCAATACGGAAAATGTTTTATATTTGTTTTATAATAAAGCACAAAGGAATATATATAAAAAAGGAAATTTTCCGACGTTTCCGTGTTGACATTGAGTTATATCAACACGGCTCTTAGCCAATCAGCGTTCAGAATTTACAAATGCTATCTTATAAGAGGGTCCTGAAGGGGTAAAATGGGAACTGGGATTTGCTTATTTTTGGGTGGGAAAATGGGATTTCATGCACTGGGACTGGGATTCATCAGCAAAAAAACAATAGAAAATGGGAATGGGATTAAGATTAGAGCAGGACAGCCACTGAGATGATGGGATTTCTGCTCTGGGACAATGGGATTTAGTCAAAATTTGGGCTGGGAAATGGGAATACGACCCCCCTTCAGGACCCTCTTATAAAAAAGATATCACATACGAGTCACTATATGAACGATTTACATGAAGTAGTGCACCCCGAGTCGACGAACGAGTAACGCAGGGGTTTATTTATGGCCATATCAGAACGCTCACATCCCATCCCCCTTTGCGCGCCTATAATGACACACTACTGCATGTAAACCTTTTATATAGTGACTCAAAATATTTTTATAGCGCCTTGGGACGAGGCAGGCAGAATATAATTTAGGATTTGATGCTGAATTCTGTTTTGTTGTTTTACATTTTGTCGTGTTGTTCTAAATTCTGTAATGTTTAGTTAAATTTTACTATGTTGCCTCAAATTCTTTTGTGTTGCTCTTTTGATTAGTCGGGTAAAATGGAATAAAGTAGGGCAAATCTCTTTCTGTCCCCCTAATTTCCCTCTCCCGTACGCCTATGAATTCCATTCCCCCAAAGTTATTCTTTCGTTAGAGCATATACTTTGATGTTTGCTAGCTTATCAGTTTGAAAACTGAAAAGTCACCAATGACGGTTGATAGGCCATTGCGAATAGAGAAAAGTAACATATTCGCTCATGTATAATGGATGTACAGAAATAGTTATATATAGCAATCTACAATGCAGTAATTGTTATAGTAATATACTACGGTAGTACAACACAAGAGAAAATGATAACAAAATTCACACTATAAACCGGCATATAAAAATACAAATATCACGCTATATTCAGTCTGTTGCATTTCAGTATACTTTCATAGGAAAATTCGAAATCACACTGACCAACATATAACCATTTATGACCATGCACCTACACTCTAGACTGTTATATATCCAGTAAAAGTACATTTCAATAAACATTTACCTATATCTATATACTATATGATTCTATATATTATTCTATTGTTCACAAATTGATCCTACCATTTGGACTATTTGGAAATTCTATTGTACGTTAATTAAGCGAGAAAATAATTGTTCGTTAATTCAACTTTAGGGCGTACTATTGTACCCCTATTACTATGCTTGAGTAATGAAACGATATATAAAAAGCTGCATAATATAATCCTTGGAATTAAAATGTTTCCAGTTTCGATATAAGATTATTCTCCACGTGCGCCTCGTGGCTAAGCTCCGTCTTTTTCCTTAACAGGCGGAGAAGCTGCAGCATTGCCACAGCTACGACAGGCACAAGCAGATACTTCGGTAATACGGTGAAGCTGATTGGTGCCATCTGGACATTTCAATATAACATCTTTAGACGCATCAATCATGGGTAGACAACAACTACATCTGCTTTCGTAGAATGGTGGTTCGCTAATGTAACGAGTGCCAGAAGAACATTTTCCGTCACATACAGCTAAAAATAGAATGTATTTGGGTTAGAAATTGATGTTCAAAGGTGTAATAGCTAATTAGAGCAGTCTCAGTTCGACGTCCGCCAATTTGGCTTCACATTTGTGTAACTGAAGGCTTACGACCATTTATATAGATCTCACTGTTACCCACTCAACATCTCGGTAAGAGAAATTTATTTAGTTGATAATTATTGATTATTATTTTATTGAACATACCAACTTCCACAGGATGTTCGTTGATACAACCATCAATATCGAAGTCAACAAACTGTGAGCCAAGTGTACATGATTGATCTAGAATATAGGTAAGAAATTATCTGAGCATTATCATCATCACCAATCACCATGTCAATTTTTACTCGATCTATTGATATAACGGCAACCAAACAGTGCCAATCGAAAGGAAATTCTGCCTCTTCTTGCATGTAGCCTTTGACATCTCTTTAATTATATTTTTATTTTTCTTGTTTTTTATTAAACTAGTAAAAAAACTTTATTGAACTATATTTTGAGATGATCTGATGGAAAGAACGAGTGTATGGCACGTTAGGAACAGATTAAAACTGAATATTTCACGAGATATTGAGGAGATTAGTAAAAAATGTTTTGTATTTTATAATAGCAGTCAAAGTATTTTAATTTATGATATCAGTACGTTCACTAGGTTTCTTTTTTATAAAAACTTAATCACATAATTTCTGCTGTAGCTTGCAACGAAAATTCTGGAAACAACATTGTAATTGTAAAGACTCGTATTTAAACAAGGTCAACATGTTAATTGGTCTAAAACATCATCCAACATTGATGATCCAATATTGTTGGCAGTGTTGGCGTCATTTGAACACTATGTTAGGTATAAATGTTGGCTTATGTTGTAACTTGGAAAATGTTGGATTGGGTTTGACGTGTCCAACATTGTCCAGCATTGTTGTACGATGAGGTAAATTGGGCTATATACCATAGAATTTCTCACACAAAAATAAATTATACTGTACGTACCGTATTTCTTACACAATTCTTTAATGAAATCCATAATAGGTTTGGTGACCTCATCAAAATCTCCTTCAATGAAGAGATCACGTGGTGACTTAACCAGCGGTCTCAGTTCTCTCTCGTCTGCCTCGCCTACACCAATAGCAACCACATGAACACCCTCGTTACGTAATGGTGCAATTGCCAACTCCAATGCTTCCTCGTCGCATTTCCTATTCTGTGTACCATCTGTGAGAATGAACATGATTTTAGGCACATTTTCATCTCGCATGCCTTTTTCTTTGGTAAACACATCCGATGAAGCCAAACGGAGAGCTTTGTCCAAGCGAATCTTTCCCCCTTTAAGTGGAAGATTATCAACTGTATTTTCGAATGATTTGAGAGTGGTTTTGTTGTTTAGTCTAGTGATAACTTCGGCATCATTGTTGTATAATATGATACCAACATGACTACCATGCATTGAAACATCAAATTCTCTTCCGATGGCTTTCAGCAATTCCTTCTCTTTCAGGTAGTTGCCTCCGCGCATGCTCGCTGAGGAGTCTACCAGTAGGGCTATGTCAGCATGGCTCCTACAGTCCTTCTCTGCAAAAAAAGAATACGACAATGTAAATTATACCACCTTGCACTCTATGTAATCATTTTTAACGACTCGATTAGGATTCTGTACATGCACGTTGCATGCCTGGAAGCGTAACAAATCAATATGAATCATCATGCTTGGAATAGGGATATGACGTCATCTGTCGAGCATGTAATGGACTTTCGACAACTTTTGTTTAGGATACTAGAGTAGAGAGCCAAAGCTACGCGTAATCAGTGAATGTTATTCCCGATGTCGGGAAAAACACTAATTACGTAAAGCAGAATACTGAGAATAGCGAAACAAGTCAGAAATTCACATCATATTGAATTCATATCAGAAATTCACATAAATATTGTCATAATTGGGCGTGCGCTATGCATATTTGCTGTTGTCCAAAGTACTACACTTATTTCAAATCTAAACGTTACTTCCAAATCAACTTCACTTAATTGACTTACTTGCTTTTTGGCACAGAGATTGTCCCACCTCAGTAATTGTATCGAACAGTGTATCGAAAGACTTCACGTAATAGATATTATCTCTTGATTCGGAGATTGCCATTAACTCGTATTCATCCACTTCATAACCAATACCGATACTAATTACCTGTACACCACTGGAAGCCAATGGCGCTACAGCTTCTTTAAGTGGAATTGCATCTGGAGCTGACGTCTGCTGTCCGTCTGCCATGATAATGAACATCTTAGGCATACCATCTCGTGCACCACCAGAAGGAGTGAACACTACAGACGAAGCCAATGCTAGTGCTAGATCAATCCTTGTGTGTCCACCTTGGTACTTTATGTTTCGTACAGCACTCGCGAAGCTTTCTAAATCTGTGTGATCATTCAGGTTAATCGTAATGGATGCTTGTGAGCCGAATACAATCACTGAAACGTGGGTTCCAAGTCTAGAGAGTCCAAAACTTCGTGCTAACATTATGACTGCTGATTTCTCAATCTCGAAGTTATCTTCCATGATACTGTCCGAACTGTCAATTGCAATGGTCAGGTCCATAGGGTAACTACAAATGTTAACCACTAGAAAGGAGAGATAACGTTTTTTAAATTTATCCCAGATTCCCAGTCACCTATAGGATCAAACGAATCGTCCTTTTTTGTTGATGTCTCTCGTAAAGTCTCGTTTGTAACATTCTTTTGATTTTCGTATGATATTCGTGGGAACTTTAAAGACCATGTCAAGTCCGTAATGTAAACAAATCCTTTGTTTACATTTTGAACTGCTATATTTGTAAAATAAGACATACTAACTGAATATCTAACACTTTTCTGGTTCGCTATTGTAAATGAATATAAACTAGAGTACGTTTCAATTCAAAAAAGTTCGAAAGATGCACTGAACATTTGGGCAATGTTTATATCTGTGGGTCCCCCTTTGTTATGAGCAGAACTGATGCGCAGAACGAACTTGACATGGTCTTTAAACTGTCGAGCTTTACAATAGCACTACAAACTTTTCCAAACTCAAATGAAAGTCGCAATATAATTCACAAAAGTCTGGGGCTCTAAATAGTGGCCTACCAAAAGCAGTCACTGAGGAATGACAGGGAAAAATAAGTTTGATCGACTAAATCAAAGATAAAAGGTCAGCAAAATTATACAGAGGTTGTTATTTAGAAAAAAATCATTTGTGCTGAGTAGATCGCTTCGGATGCTTATTCTGATAGAGTTGATAGTCAAATATACCATATAGAAATAGACGTAAAAAAATAGAAATGAAAATATTCATTTCTTTAATCGTAAATGCGAGAGGGATTGTTTTGAAGGTTCAAAAATGGCAAAAAAGAGTTCAAACCATGTATTCTTATTTCGAGTCCTGTAATTTTCATGATCATGTCGTTTATTAATACTTACCAGTGCAAACTTTTCCATTACCATTATATCCAACATTGCATTCACAGTAATACGATCCCTCGGTATTGTGGCATTTCGCATGCACATCACACGGTGATACTTCACCATCGCATTCATTCACATCTTAAATGTTGAAGAAAATAAACAAACAGTCAAGATGATACCCCCAATGCAAACTATCAAAACGATTGACAGGGTGTAGGTAAAACATGGCCCTAGGCCATGGCCCAGGCCATGGCCCAGTGTATGGCCTTACCCTTGGCCCACCTGTTTTTTGTTTAATTTTGATGTGTAAATTATGTCAAAATTATTTTAACGTGTTGAGTTCATATACGTTTCATATATATTATAAAATATTGATTTGAGCTCATTTCTAAAATACGAAATAAATTTTGACCATGAGTCACCTAGCTGTGCGTTTTACGATTAGTACATAATATGGACTATTACATAACGTACGAACAACCAAACAACACATGATCAGTGATCACGTGAGAGAATCAATGTCGGCCACATGGCGCACAACTGCATCGTTTCATGGGGTGAGTTTTTATCGTTTCTTGTAGCTTTTTGCTATCAATACGAGCAGGTGCTTATCTTGCAATTTAACGAAAGTAATGTTGAGAACTCTCTAACGTTTATAAACGTTTGAATTTTAGAAAATCGTGTTTAAAATAAAAAAATGAAGCGATCGAGGTGAGTTTGATGAAT